CGAATAGTCCTTCTATTGGTGCGGAGATGTAAATACAATTGTGAGTAAACATCGCCTGACTGACATTATCATTGTGACTGAGATGCTGAGATACTGAGATACTGCGATGAGAAAGTCTTGTTTTCCGTATATAGAAGGGATTTCCGGTCAATAATCCCATATATGGTAATGAATTACGTCTCAGGTTCGCTGGTTCGCTGGTTCGCTGGTTCGCTGGATAAGTCCGAGTGAGATGTTTTGAGGGTCATGTAAAGAATATCATTACTCTCTACTAGCGTGTATGTACGTCTATCTGCAATCATAACATGTCTAATTTTATAAAGTTGAAAGGCTCGCATTTCCACTTCCATATAAAGAAAAGTTTATTTCGGAGACGGCATATCTAATTTAATCCAACAACGTTATTATAGGATTTGAATAAAGGGCTAAACAGGCACATTAATGAATCACACAGTGTCCCTCAATGTCATGACCGGTCAGTCGAGTTTGGCTTTCTTGTGCTGTTGTTTTTTTTTGTTTGCGCAGTTTGAATTGGAGTTCGTTTACGTGAAAACAAAGGCGCCCGATAAGGTTAGTGTGCGTTACAAATTATTGCCCTTTTCAAAATTCTAGGTCCTCCGTCAGTCCGTCACACGAAATTTTTTTGCAAACGTGATTACTCGTCAGTACAAATTGTTACTCAGTGATTTCCAAAGCGGACCACTCCAGCGGTCACTTAAGCCAGAAACTTGGTTCACTACAACGAACTCTTTAGAAGCCGAGGACTGTTTTCAAGGTTGCGGTGATTACCAGTGAGTGATTACCAGCGATTTCCCTTGACTTGATTACCTTGATTACTGGGTACAGCTTTTATATTTTGGGCTATAATACATAAGTATACATAATAAAAAGACAGTTAAAGCCCCAAAGAATAGAAAAAGCAGAAGCACAGGTCTTTAGATTAGCTTTTCTGACTTGCAATCTCTTACACCCGTAGTTCTCATAATGGATAAGCCTCTTGCACAGATCTCAAATGGTGTATTGTATATACTCTTTATAGATGGTTATTCAAGGAGAGATATTGCACGATATCTCTACATTCCCCGTTCGACAGTAAAACGAATTGGAGTTGTGTGGTTGGATCCGTAGATCTTATTGGTGCTAAATTTTGCACAATCTGATTGGCGCGGCAGGACGAAGTGAAATGAAATCATGAGGTGAGATCTAGAATTTTGATAACTTATTACCAGCCCATCACAAAAAGTAAGCCCGTCAACTTAACAAGTTTACTTTACGTGATAATAACAAACATGAGACGCGGCGGAAACCAACAAAACAACTGCAGGCCGTGGAACGCTATGGTAAATAACTAGTTTATCTCTTTCATTCATAGTAACACGCCTCGGCGGGGAAAGGTTAAACAAACCCTTCCGTTTCCTCGATATCAGCCCGAGAACATACAAGAGAGGGGGAGGGGGGGTTTTCTCACTTGTCCCTTCTTCTTCTCATGCCAATGAACGATATGAACAGACAGTAACATTTCACAAAATTATATTCTTCGACAGGTCAAAGAAACGTCGGGAGTCACAGCTGCCGACGTCTTAGGAAGCGACGCCCCCTCCTCATACGCAACTTGGCGATACTCAAACCTCGTTGCTTTGGGTATCGTGGAACCAAAAAAACCGGAGGCTTCAGAGACGAATCAGGTATTATTCTTTGTCTTTAAAATATTTGTAGTCAATGACAAACATAAATCAACCTCTTTTTTTTTTACCAATATAACGACAGGATACTCACTCCTGGCTTTGACAAATATTAAGCTCGAAGAAGCTACAGTATTTGACATGTAGGAAATAGCTTGCTCTGCATGATTGAGTAAGGAGCGAAGATATAAAACAGAGTGCAAAAGACACATCAGTGGAATCAAACGTAGCAGAAGTAACGTTTCGATTAGTAGACCGATTCGTCAAGCTCGTACGTTCCAGTTCCCAACAGCTCGTCTACTGACGACACGTTACTCGGTCCATTGTTGGATGACAGGAAACTTTTTCTATACAAAAAGCCCGGGAACTAAATGAAGCCTCAAGGGAAGACGATGAAAACACATGACAGTAGTAGGTCCTGATTTGGCCTGACTCAATAACCGCATTATACTCTTCTCTCTTATATTCCGATCGATGTATTGTGGTCAGAATTGACCGATGTATTGTAATCAAAGTTTGAATAGTCAGAATTGGCTGATGTATCAGTGAACAAATTATAATAAACTACTACTTGGCTGGCTGGGAATTACCCATGACGATTTGCTTTTCGGTATAGCTAATATCACGTGATATATTGTAATGAAATTCTGTTAGACGACATCTTTCGATAAACCGCAGCTAACTTATCAAAGATAATAACTACTAAAAGTTAGAAAGCAAACCAATTTAATAATTACATCATCGCGCATACCTATAAAAAGCTTCTGATGAACGTATTGGGCTTCCGAATGAACGTTGGGTTGCTGTACAGAACATTTTATCATGCACTTCTTGCCGACTAGTTTACTGTGCCATACATGCAGACCTTAGGTCCGTCATGGGGTCCCCCATTCCTGGCCCACTTGCTGTGAGACACCATAACAGCAATGACAAAGAAAATGTCTATTTAAGATTAATTGCTTTTTCAAGGTTTGGCCACACAACCCATACATATCGATGTATACATTCTATCTCATTGGAAACAGGATGCGGGAATGCACGGATTCTGGCTCGTGAATGACACACAACATGTGCAACAGGCGACAAACAATACTAGCGAAATACAAAGAACAATCCTGAGTATATCTGGTAGGTGTTTCGGAGACCTGATATTTTGAATTCAAGCCCAACTTACTAAAACCGGTTAGGTCATGGGAGTGAGAGAGTTCTGTATGAGCTGTCACACAAAGGACAAGGTTCTTATTCGGTTGGTTCGAAGGCTTTGGCCATTTGAGCTGGCGTCGGCGTTTGATGAATACCTTTTATTCATCTATTTATTTCGGGAGTGAAGTTTCTCCAAAAAAATGATTTGTTATTCAGAGTACCCCCTCATATTAAAATGGGGTTTGTATACATGGACGATCGCCTGATATAGTACTTTTGAAGACAAAGGGCGAGGGCTTGCATATGAAAATAAAAAACCATTACTATTTATTATTGAGATTGAAGTATTGTTAGTGTATAATTTATTGTGATGTGAGAGAGAATGTCACCAAATACCAATACTGAGATAATATAACGAACTTTTTATTTAAAAAGTATTGTAAAAGAACGCAGTATCAAGTTAAAAGTAGGGGTCCAAAATAAGACATAAAATTATGTCGTGTGACGATCGATGGTGTAATTATTTAAGAGTTGATTATGAATAGTCCTTGCAGGTTGATATTGTTTGTCATTGTAGTGAGTATGTTGATCCTTGCGGGTTGTGAAATATGTCGATCGCACTTATAATACTCACTCATATCGACTGATTATCAATAGTTCTTGCAGGTTGATACGTTGATATATAGAATGGAATTTGCATAATACTCATTCGTATCAGTTATCACAGGTATATTAGTTTGCTTTTATTGAGTTATGCGTATGTGTAGTAAACTTGTATTGATTTGAGAGATATACCTCTAAAAATACAGCAAATCAGATTTGATCATTTTATCATGACGAGCGATGCAATTGAATCTGTGGTAGTATACCAAGATAACAATAGCACGAGGTGAAATATTTGAGTAATAGTCGTATTGTATACTCACGAGACAATAATGTAATGAAGATATCCCATTAATACATAATACTTAAAAGCATTATTCGGTTAAAAGTGACAACATATACTTGCTATAAACATCTCCTCCCGGTTTAGCATCTCACGTGGCAAACTTATCTCTCCGTCTAATAGATATTGCAATTTCTTTATCCAACTTCATCACATTTGGTCTTCACTTGATAACGACTGTTGGCTATGTAATACTGATAAGAATATTTTTTCATTCGTGTATACTGTAAGCGTCGAAATAATATAAATATTTTTGCAACCCTTCTCTCGCTAGGAAACTTCTGTTATGCAAGTAATTATTAAATGGATACTTTCCTCAATATGTTGGCTATGCGTCTTCAGTTGATGCAAATTACATCATAGCAACTCTCTTTCTATAATTATATATCATACATATGGTATCGATACCTTACACAGTGAACCCTCTCTAATATCAACCGTTGATATATGCGGGGTTGGATATAATAGGGGTTTAAATTATGACGTCATATGTAATGATATTATATACGATACTTATGTTTCGAATTAAACCTTAAACTTTATTTATATTTATAATAAAAATCTCTTTATTTCTTTCTCCATATAAACTAAACCAATCTGTTCACTTCTCTTTGATGAAAAAATCTGTTAACTTTTTTGTTGCCTTGCCTTGTATATATTCGATTGAATGCGTCGCAACAGACTTTGCAATCGGCATGTCTTGCTTTTCTACGAATTTGACGGGGTCTTGCTGTTCTACATACTGCAAAAGTAATTTGCATTGTTCCAATGCCGTAGAATAAGAAATTTTTTCGATTTCAATGTCGCTGCCTTCAATACAACCATCAGAATTAGACGTGTGGAGTATGTTTATACTTTAGTACGCAAATCGTATTATAAAGAGACATTACGTAGTAAATACGTGATATTGTAGATCAGAATTTTTAAATTTTTAAATACTAATTTATATTGATGTTGATATCAGCGAGGTACATTTAATTAGGAATAAAATCTGATATGTGTTGATAGGGATGTCAACGGGGTATGATATCCAAATTGATATATGCGGGAGAATTTAAATATGGGGAAATCCGTTCTGTAACCGCTGTTACTAATAGAGAGAGGTTGATATTGACGGGGTGGATGTTGAAAGGGTTCACTGTAATAGTAGATGACCAGATTTTAGTCGATTAATAATAACAATTTTTATTAATAATTCATATACATAAATACTTAACCTACAAGTGAATCGGAGCCATTGAACTACAAGTGGCACATAATCTATGCAGAGCACCTGTACGAAATTGTATTGGTCAATGATAGCGTGATCCCGTCTCTCCATCTTCTCAGCAAGGCTAGAAAGGCACACCACACGTTGTAATTGTTGGCATTAAGGGAGGAGATAATAAGCAGTTTCGACGTTGGTTTATATGTTCCTAACTCGATTCTTCCTAACCTTTGACCGTATGCGTGTTGATGTTGCCTTTTGTATCAGCCGAATATTCAACATGATCAACAGGGCAAATTATAAACCCACATTCGTTTTTCTGTATGATAGTTTCAGTAACAAGACTTTATTACATTTGATTCATAATTACTACTGTTGTAACTAGAAACAGATAACCCCTTCCTTACGCTAGCAGGCAGGAAAAGCATTTTTATAACAATATTGCAAATTGTAAGGGAAATGTGATATGTATATTATTTCCTATTGTAGACCTGTAAAGCAACTACGAGCGATACAGAATTATGACTTAACAATCTGGTAAACACTACATGTTATAATAAAGACATTTATTGTTTCTCCGGAACATATTCCATAAATCAAATGTAATAAATCAAAGTCATTCCCTGTATTCCCTATCCAATCACCAAGACTAAATCTAAAATAAATAATATCTGAACAACGCATCGTTTAACCAACATGTCAGTTGAACTTTAAAAAAGAACATATACAACAGATTTGCATAATCTATCCAATAGGAGTGATGATCTAAATCGACTGTAATGGATTAAATTTATGCTTAGCCCCACTTTTTATAAATTTACTGCTCATAAAGCTCAATAAGGTCCATGATATTACTGTCATTGCTTGTAGTTGCCAGTTTCTGCAACATGTCGTTATATTGACTACAGCAAACAAATTTAAAATTAATATTCTTTCCACCAAGATACATTGTTACTGTCATAACAATACCAGCAATGACAAGCAGTATCTTGTATACAAAACCGTATTCTTCAGGCATATCGTTAACAGACGATATAGGTAGTGGAGTTGCAAGAGTTGTCGCTACTGAATAACTTAAGGAACTGCTTGCATTAGATAATGAATAACAGAGAACTATTTTCATGGTGTATTTTTCCATGCCATAAACCAAATAGAAAAGAATAACTACCTTTGAGTCGTTGCTGTTGACAGAAAACTTGTACTTGTGTGTGTTGATCGAACATAAAAAGTATAACTAAAAATATGATCAAGTTGTAAGCAAATAACACATATGTTAATATCTTTGCTCCTGTCAAGCGCTTACCAGCAAGTGAAGGAACGGTATGCTTCCTCAGAATTATTTATTGCAACAGCATAACTTCCAATAGCGATGCAAAAAATGAGAATAATTTCAATAACGTATCTTTTCATTGTTGTTACCGCTTCGTTGTGAACAAAAGTGTGGGTTCTATTTGAGTCTAGAATAAACTGTCGGAAGAGAGAAAGAGTCAAGTATTAGAGAATATCACACGGTTATATTATGTTGGATCAGCATTTTTATTAAATAACCAATACTGAACGATTTTTTGATGGTGTATCGTGTGACGGGGAAGTCCATGTTCAATTACCATTCTAATAGAACTATTTGATGATGCGTGTACAAGGTTTGTGTGACGGTCTACTTTATTAATACATCTGTACGAGGTTTTGATGATTGGTGTGACGGGCAATGACAATGATGGGTGTGACGGGCAATGACAATGTTCCCTCTTCTCACATTCTTCAAATAACACTACAAAAACGTATAAACAATTTTATCACTTACATATTAATATTAAGATACAGACATAATAACTTTATTAACATAACTAG